AATTTACTCATAATCTAATATTTTTTATTTTACATTGGCGGCGAAAGGACCTCCTTAATTTCATAATTACTAATTCAAATTCAAATTGCGTGCTTACGCGCGCGCTCTAATTCTGAACCAATAAGAAATCAGGGTCCATGTTTTCGAGTTATTTCAATACTAACCTTCAACTAACCATTAATTTAAATAAAATAAATAAATTTTTGTAAACTTACTGATCTTTCGTGGTGTCTACCAAAAATTGCCTCAAACTCAGTGTATTAACACTGTCCCAAATGTCTGAAGATAGTCCGCATGCGCACAACTTTTGAAGCTTGTTGTCTTTGTTTTCAATACACGATGAAGACATTTTATTGTGTACTGGTAAAACATAGTCTCTGTTGACTTTGGGACAGAATTTCTCTTTCGAATAATTGTATTCAAAAGTCTGTTTATTAAAGGTAAGTTAATATCAATAAATTTATTATTTATCATACTGAAGTTAGCTGAGAATTTTTTAATTTTTATAAAAAATAAATTACAATAAAAAAATTTTTTTCATAATAATTTAATTGCTATAAAATTATAAAAAAAAAACTTTTTATATCAGTTAACTTCAGTGTCATTATTATTTTTCTTGTTATTTTAATACTCACGTAAGGACACGCCATACTGTAAACAACTCCTTTAGGATTTTTAGTGTCCCAATAAGCGCGAACAGGATTGCATTCATATTCCGGGTCAACGTTGGTCATATTTACCATACCTCTATTTACATCCCATGTAATTGATGGATCGTAATAAGCTACATAATTTTTTACTCGAATGTAATGTTCACCTACGGAAAAATATTTTATCTTTTTAAAATTACTATTAGAAAAATTAAGGCCCTAATTTTCGTTGGCTGTTTATATATTTGACCTTAAATTAAGTTTTTTTTTTTCTAAATTATTGTACCTTCTTTCCAGCTTTCAGGATCGCAATTTTTGTATGACTTGTAAATAGGATTGTCAATTGTTCCTAAATAGTATTTAGCTGACTTAGTAATTTCTTTAAGTGAACTTTTAAAATTTTCCAAAGTAATATGTTGTTCTCTTTCGAATAAATCTAAGTAATAATAAAATCAATTATTATTTTTTTTTTAATTGAATAAATTTATTATTCAATTACTTACTGAAATTTGACAATCTTAATTGACGGAATTTAAAAGTGCAAATAAGCATTGTATATGCTTTACTGGTTGTCGCTAAAACTCTTTCGTACAAATTGTAAAATTGTTCGTACGCTGGTGTATCATCGCAGGTAAGAAATGTATTTGACTAGAAAAATTATTATTAAACATTATTTTTATTATTATCTATATTATAAAGAGAATAAGAAAAATTTTATTAAGAGATTAAGAAATGACCTTGTATCTTGAGAAATATTGACATTTTTAAAGATATAAGCTCATCCTTATATTATACTCATCAAGACCTTTAATTTGAGTAGCCACATCAATTTTTCATATATTTATATATGAAAAATATATAAAAAATGCATGTGGGTACTCAAATGAAAGCTCTTGATAAGTCTAATATCAAAATGAGCTTATATCTTTAAAATCATCAATAATTAAGAAAGTACAGTGCAATTTAAAAGCAAAATTTTAATGTTAATTGAATAAAAAAATTTATAATTACCAGCTTATAAATAAATCCTAATTAAATAAAATAAAAAACTCCAAAATTGGATTATTGATTATTTTATTTAATAAAAAAAAAATTACAAGGTTTATCGTCGCTTTCTCCCCCCGACTTTCTTTTTCAAATTGCGCTCTCCTTTACCAGCTTTAGGTTTCTTCCCGGACTTACTTCCAGCAACCTTCTTGCCCTTTTTCCTGGCAGAATGCTCACTGTCTTCTTGCCTGATGACCTGGGCAGCAGTCTGGACATTAACAATGTCTTTACTCGTCTTCTTATTAATAATATCATTAACCAGCGAAGCATTGATCTTCCTCTCATCAATAGGGTTCATGGCAACGGCCTTGCGCTTCTTGATCAACCCGGGGACCTGGTGAAGAAGCTTATCCTTGGCATCCTTCTCCTTGGGCAGCTTCCCCTGGAACTTACCAACAGAAGCCGTGGAGACTCTGGCGACAGTGGTGGCCACAGCGAGCTGCTTGGAGCTGGAGAACTTCTCGTCACTCGGAAGTCCGACCTTGGGCAGCTTGATGTCGTTAGCTTTCGCAATATTCCGGAGTCGCTGGAGCTCGTTCTTGCTAACTCGCTCCTCTTTCTTTTTAAGAGCAGCCTGGATTGGGTTGTCATCCTTGCCGTTGATCTCCACGCACCAGTCTTTCTGCTCCAGGGATTTATTTTTTTTATATCCAAAAAGCGGGATCCACTTACCGAGCTCCTCGTCCCATTCCAGCTTGGACTTGCCCTTCTTTTGCTTGCGGATTCCCTTCTCCTTGGCGAACTTTTCCCACTTGGTCAGCGGTTTAGGTTTGGGAACTACTCTTCCACGTGGTAAGCTTGTCTGCGGCTTAGGAAGCTCAGCAACAATTGACTCGTCAACACGCTTCACTGGCAACTCCCATATTCTATTTATTAAAAATTGCGTGTTGCTCTGGGTCAATAATTTCAAGTAATCACTCCCGTTTGATTTTAAACTCTGAATGTCCACTGGAGTATCATCAAACACGCACAAAGTTCCTACGTCAATACTCACGTCTTTTTCCGTATTTTCTACTTCCATTTTTTTATTATTTTAATTAAAATAAATTTTTATTTTTAGGTTAAACTTACATGTGCTTCTTAAATCACTCAGTGTTTTTATTTTTCAGAGTTTTCTAGTTTTCTCTCCTCTGAAAAATAATTAAGGCTGTTATTTTAATTCACTTTCGATCCTGTAGGTGGCGCTAGTGGCTACCGCAAAATATTCAAACTAATAATGAAGTTAACCGTCAGCTGTCAATTATTAAAAATTTTAACAACACTAAAAAAACGCTTCTAAAAATTTTTACTTGTCATTTTTATTAATTTTCACATGTGGAATTTTTTAATTAAATTCTTTTTATAATAATTTAATTATTATAAATTCTAGAATAATTTTTAATGTCTAATTATAACTTGTAAATAATTATTATTTTTAAGATTTTTTTTGGTAAGAAATCAAAACAGTTTTTTATTATTTGAATTATTTAATTATTATTATTATTATTATTAATAATAAAATTTTTTATCATACTATTGTTATTATTATTGTTAAAAGAAAAAAAAAAAAAATCAATTATTAAATCTTCTTACTTAACAATAATTATTTTGACGTCATTGTTGCATCAGGAAGCATATTTTAATGACGTGACTCCTCTCACATCTATTCTCACATATATCTACTTGCGCAAACTCCAAATTACCAGTCTCATTCAACGCTCAGCTGATTATGGAGTCTCAGAGTTGTAACTCATCAATTATTTGACAGCTTATTAACAAATGGTATGTAAAAAAATTCAATTAATACAAATTATTATCTAAAAAAAAATCACACTCTAATTACATTAGCTGCATTAATAATTTTTTTTTAATTGCTAAAAAAATAAAAAACACACTATAAAAAAAAAGAAATTTTTTCTTTTTTCGACTTTGTCCTCATTCCCGCCAAGGTTAAGGTCGTAATATTTTTAAACAATTAATTTATTTTTAATTAACATGTGATCAAAAGTTTAAAATATTAATTATCACCATGTGATCAACTATTTGCTCTGTTAAAAGTGAACGTTAATTATAATTTTTGCAATAAATTTTTCTATAATTCTATTATTTTTATAATAATTAAAAAAATTTTATAGTAATAATTAATAGCTTCTTTAATTAATTTATGTGATTTTTTATTGATTTGAATTTTTTCCTAACCTCAAAATTTAATATTTCATATTTTGTGACGTAATATAACGTAACATTGCGCAGTTAAATTAATTTTAATTAATTTTCAGTAATAGTGTCGAAAAAATAAGACTCGAATTAAAGACAAAAAGTTTGCTGATTAATTGATAATTAATAATTATTAAAAATGGATCGTCGCAGAGAAATAATTATTGATGAAACACCTATGCAACAAATGTGGAGAAGTTTTTCAGGCAATCCCTTTCTTATGATTGGTAAGTTAACAATAAATTTATTACTATTATTATTATTATTATATATTTAATTTATTTTTAGTAGTTTGATAACTTTTTTAATTTTTAATAACATAAAAAATGATAAATTTTAAGTTTTATAAATTATAATACCATAAATAATTTTACAGGAGTGACTGGCTTTATAGCAACAGCAATAATAGGAGGATACAGATTTGCAAAAAGACCCAAAGATTCACCACCTTCATTATTTTTAATCCAACTCCGTGTAACAGCTCAGTCTGTGGTGGTCGGAAGTCTAGGAATCGGAATGCTCTACGGTATGGTAGACCACTGGATATTGAACCCCAAGCCCAAGAGAAAGGCTATCGCTGATGCTGAAAATAAATAATTAGTTAATTAGGAGAAAGAAAAACTCGAGCAATAATTTTATCAGATATTTTTTGACATGTTTAAAAGATCATTTATTTCATGCTACCTCATTTAGATATTTTTTCATCCACCAACAGATACTCGTATTATTTGTAAATATATTTCACTGTATTTATTTATTCAATTTGCTGTATTGAAAGACAGTTTGTTTGCTGATTTAAATGATTAATCCTAAATTTTATTTTGGAGTTATAATTATTGTTCATTTAATTTTCAAATTAATTATATAAGATTAGGTACAATAAAATGTTTAAATTCTGATTTTTATTAATTTTTATTTTATTATTATCAATTTAAATTAATAATTAGTAAATTAAAAAAGCTAAAGTAATATTTTTAATATATTTAAAATTTAAATTTTCGCGCCAAACAGACATTTTGAAGAACTCGAGCGCCATCTTGAGACAATATAAAATTTTGATAACACTGAAGTTGACAGAATTAGAGTTTTACAATAACATTAAATTATTATAAAAAATTAAATAAAAAAAAATCTACAATTAAAAATTAAAAAAAATTATCAGTGAAAATTTTTAAAAGCACTTTTTGAGTTGTAACTTGTTATAAAAGTATTAAAAAAAAAAATTGACAGTTGTCAGCTAACTTCAGTATGATAAATTTTCCTGATTTGATAAAAATAAATGATCCCCCCTATTTAACGTTATCCCATTATTCGTGTAAACGTCAGGTAGTGGAAAATAAAAAAATGGCGGATCAAAGTGACAGGAGTCAATTACCACCTGGTTGGGAGTGCAGATATGACATAAGAAGTGGTCGCCCGTAAGTTTAAAACCTCTTTAATTATTTTTACACCTTTTTAAAAACCCTCTTGCATTTTTGGATCATTTATTTATCTCCTATATTTTTTATTTACATATTTTAAAAGCGACACCCACTCCCCCATACAATCCTAATAAAATTATCTATTATTGTTGTTATTATTATTTATTGGATAAAATTCTAATGTGATTTATTTGTCCAGGTATTTTATAAATCACTTTAATTGTGCAACATCATGGGAAGATCCGCGCGTAAGATATTGGCAGTACGCACAATATGTTCACGGGCAAAATTCCACAGCTACAAATTCATCAAATGGAAATTCTCATGAAGCTATACCGCTCCAGGTAATGTTAGCAAAAAAAAAAACTTAAAAATTACTCGTATTTAATTAACTGCGTATGAGTAATTTGCATGATAAAAATTTTCTTTGACATAACAAGTGGGTTTGTTTCTAACGCTGCAATTGGATTTAATAATTCATCTTTTGATGATTGATAATTGATAATTGTTACTATTAAGAGCGGTAATATTGGTGGTGGTGGTGGTGGTGGTGGCTTTGTTTATTCTGCAACACACCGAGCACCGCAAGTTTATCCATCACCGTACAATAATCCACAGCCTGCTTTTTTACCATGTTTGCAGGTATGCTTTTTTATTTTTCAATTTTAACAATTAAATTAATTAAACTAAAAAAAAAAAAAAAAATAACCACTAATAATTTTTACTTTTAATTATTTTACAATTATAGTTTTCAATAAATTTTAATAGATTATTTATTTGCTTTTTATGGCGAATAAACCGGAATTAAATTTTCACAATAAACTGGCAAACTGTAGAGTAAAGAATCAACTTCTCCAGGTTTAAATTCATCTACATTAATAAAGAAATTTTTAGCTCCCAGAGTACACTTGTCAAAATTGATTTCCATTATCGTGGGTTCATCAGTTCTGAATTTTCTATTGCACTCCTTAACCCGGAATAAATCTGTACTAAGTGTCACTTCATGAAGTGGAGATTTTCGCTTGAAGTTTAGTTTGACAGATGATTCCAAGCATTCATAATTTAAATTTTCACTGACCTTAAATTGATGTAATTAATTATTTAATGCTATTAAGTGGCCAATTAAATAAACAAATAAATAAAAATAATAATATTATTATTATTATTATAGTTAACAGTCATTTGACAATTTGACAATTCTTTAATTTTATATAACAAAAAAATTATTTTTAAAAAATTGCATTTTTCATTTTTTAAAATTTCTACATGTCAATTTTTTTTTTTTTTATAATTATTTAATATTAAATAATAATAACAGAATAATTAAACTTACTGGTCGAGCAATTGCTGTAATTACACCAAATATTGTGACAAATGTAAAGATTAAATTCTTCATATTTTATCTTTAATCAACCAACAGTCAGGAATAAAAATCAAATGATGTTAAATAACGACATTAGACTTTATATATAATTTTTAATGTTATGAAAAATCAATGAGTGACCTGTCACTAGCATCATCATGATGATTGATGATAGATAGAAACATTGATTTAATTATCTAACGTTTAAACTTTGATTTATCGATTTTTCTTTTAAGCTTTATCACTAATGACGATAAATTTATTTTATTTAAATAAATTTTATCAATTAAAAGTTTTCTATGTATTAGAAAAATAATTTTATTAAACTTTGCTGGTACATACATTTAAAAATTATTTTTAAACTAATTTATATGTAATATTTAATATTTTTTAAAAGCTTTCATTTTTTTAAAACAATAAATTGTTTAATTTATTTATTTTTTAGTAATAAAAAATTAAGCAACAGGTTTGTTTTCACAGTAAATATCCAAACTGTACAATGATTGATCCATTTCACCGGGCTTGTATTCCCCGACATTTAATTTAAAGTTTTCAGCTCCTTCCGTGCATTTTTCAAAATTTATTTCCATAACCGCTGGCTCTCCGGGCATGAATTTTTTTGAACATCCTGGAGTTTGGAATGAATTTGTTGAAAGTGTTACTTCGTGCAATGGAGTCCGGCGGTTGAAGTCAATTTTCATATAACCTGGGAAGCAATCATATGTTGAAGTTCCGGCCGTCTAAAATAAAATAAAATAAAAATTTTTAGAATAAAAATAAAACCAAAAATAAATGAATTGCTTACACGATAGCTCATTGTTGAAATAACACAAGAAAATGCAATTATTGCAACTGCACAGAGAACTTTAGTCTTCATGTTTTGTTTGTTTCTAACAACTTCTTGGAGAACAATCAGTGAAATAGTGCAAAATAAACTTATATATATATTTTGTTGGGTTACATAATTGATTACTTGGGTCATTAAGATGATTGATGATATAATATTGACATCAGAGTCTTATCTTAAAAACGGAAACCTTGCTTTATGAAATATTGATTTTTTCTCAAGGATTATAATCGTTGTGTAACATTCATTTATCATTAATTTGTTTATTAATTAGTATTTTTCTTATTTCCTGCCCGTGGTGAGAATACTATTTTTCTCCTCGACGGAGGCGGAAAGCGGCATTTTCGTTTAGCGCAGCCAGCAGAAAATTGACGCTTTCCGCAAGGAGGGGAGAAAAAATATTTTTTATTTATGGTTATCATTTTCTTGGAGTATAATTCAATAACAATAACAAATTTTTTATAAATATTATTTCTTCTTTCAGATTTAAATATTTTTATTACCAAAAAAAAAAAATTGTCTATATATATATTTTTTTTTAATTTATTAAATTGTGTCTGCTAAAAAATTAAATTTAAAAATTTTTTAAAAAATTTGAGTCTATATTTATTCATGTAAAAATTAAAAAAAAAAATAATAAAGACATTCTAATTGTAAATATTATTTTTTAAGGACTTGAAGACACCGATGTCAACATCAAGATCAATAAGTGCGACAACAAATAAATTTGGTGATATGACAATAGGTTCACCGACACCAATGAAGAATATGGAAACGTCCTTTATCCAAGGAACTGACGTCGAGCTGCAAGTTGCCAAAATAAACGCTATTTTCCCAACAGTTTCCGACACTCACATTCGTCTCCTTCTTAAAAAGTAATTAATTAAAAAATACTACATTAAATATTATTTTGATTGAAAATGAAAACTAACTTACTAAAAAAATTAACATAAATAAAAAGGGCGATGGTTTAGATGCTAAGTTGTTGAGCGAATCTATTTCAGATATAATAATAGACCAGCATTGGTTGTAAGTGCGCTACAAATCGAGAAGAATCCACTTTGCGCACCAGGTCCATGTACACCCGTCGGAGTACATTCTAATTACGCTATTCCAAGATGGCGTCTACCAGCTCATGCAATACATGCAGCTATAACATTGAGTCCACCACGTGGTGCAAGGCCAACACCACACTCCCCAAAAATGAAACTTAGGTTTATTTAACAATATATTCTTTTCCAAATATTTTTTTTTTTTTTTTTTTTTCCAGTATCACCCAAAAATTATTAATTATTTTTAGGCGCTAGAATATTTGTTTAGATAAATGCTAGCATGTAAATTCTTATTTTATTTTTTTTTTATACCAGGATTTGGATATTTTATTCTAAGAATAAATTTTTTAAAGATTATTTATTAAGGTATCTGATGTCTTAAGAAGAATATATTAAATATTAAAATATAGTCTTCTTAAAAAAAATATTTAATTCAAAATTATGGATTAAATTATTTATTTAAAGTTAGTCGTTGTCTTAATATGCATGTTAGCATGTGCAATTAATTATTGCAGATTAATTAACAACACTAATTTAATTAATCATATTATTTTTAACAAAAAATTTAGCATGGATCCTGCAATAAAATTTAGAAACTGTAGCAAATAGTTATAATTATTTTTAAATTGTATCAAAATTAATGCACTGTAATTGAATAATTGTAAGGGGACTAATTAATTATTAATATGGTGTTAATTAATTATCCAGGTACCTGAAAAATGTGTTTCCAAAAGTCGACGAAACATTATTGCTTGACATACTGGAGCAGAGTGATAATAATGTTCAAAAGGCGTCGGAAAAATTGATCGAGCAGGGATACGAGAAGAAAAATCCAACTGGACCAAGCAAATCACTGATACGTCCCAAAGAAGATATACATAAGGTCAACAAGATTGCGCCTACGCCACCGCCGCGTATGAAAAGTGCTGAAGAAAAGACAAAGTGTAAGTATTCTATTAATTACTTTTAATTTAGAGTTTTAAATTATTTAAATTTTTAGTGAAGACAAAATTGATGGAAAAATATAAATCGGTACCAGACAGAGTGATAGCGCTGGCAATGGACAGCGTTGATTACGATGAAGAAAAAGCTGTTCATATTTTGGATATTATGATTGCTGAAGAAGCTGTTCAGCCTTTGCGTACATCGAGTAGTCACAGGTATATTATTTAATTAGTTATTAATTGATCAATTGTTTATTTTTATTATTTTGCAGTAGTAGAAGTGATGAGAGAAAAGACAGTCCGCCAATAACTGAAGCTATTAAATTGACAGCGTCGCCAATCAAAAAGATACCCAAGGATGACGCTGATAAATCAAAACGCTCGAAAAATAAAATTGAGACTCACAAGTAATATTTTTTTTAATTTTATTTATTAATTATTATTATTATTAATAATTAGAGGTGTGGGAATATCGTTCGAATCGAATTTCGAATAATTCGAAAATTCAAATTATTCGATTCGGAACGAATAATTTGTAATTTTGAATTATTCGCACACTCCTAATTTTAAACCCTAGTCTAGTTAACTCTTGATAAGTCTTGATAAAACTTGATAGCATAGCCACGCGGACATGTAAATTTTTTCCAAGTTACTAATCTAATCAACTGTTTGGCCTAAAATCCTTGTAGAGAATGTGAAAACGATTCAATTTATTGGTACATAAGAATGATTAATAATGAACTTATCGACAATTTCAAATACGGGTGTGCGAATATCGTTCCAATCGAGTATTGTTATTCGATTCGAATTTTAAATCGAATATTAATATTCGATTCGAAACGAATAATTCGTAAGTTCGAATTATTCGCACACCCCTATTAATAATAATTATTATTACTTTAATAGAATATCACGTGGTACAAGTACAACAGAAGACAGTGAATATAAATCGTCTTATATTACAAAACCAATTGGTCCTAATCCAGATTTAGCTAAAGGTCCCGATAATGATTTATTATTGTAAGTATATTAAGTACTTTATTTTTATTTAAAAGATTCCTAATTAATTTTTATTTCAAAGGCCTGATTATGCTCCTTGGGCTGGTCCAGACACACTATTGTTAACTAAAGAAACAACCAGCATCAAATCTCTGGCTGTTGGACGTGATTTATCCTTGGTGTCAGGATCTTGCGTTCTTGCTAAGGGTCCAAATGCTGACTTGAGAAAAGGACCACTACGCGGGCTTGCTCAAGGTTCTATTTACTCACAGAGAAACGTTGCTAATACTGAAAGCCGCGGTAAATGAGACATGTGCAATTGTTTCTTCTCTTACTAATCTATCAATTTTGTTATCACTTATTTTTATTCTTTTCAAATTTTTATTATCAAAAATATCGTCCAATTTATTCAGGACTAATTTTGCCGGCCAGTAATACGTAAGATTTATTTCAAACATATCTTCACTTACTTTTTTTAATTAGTTGCTCAATAATAGTACTAGTTTACAAAAAAATTTTATCCAAAACTTTCGGCCTTAAAAAATTCAGGCGCTGAGCTATAATTTGTAAGCTAGTATTTTTTGTTCAATTTTTGTTAATTTTATTACGCAAACATTTATTTATGTTAATTAATTATATTGTAGTAAGTTGTAAACTGAATATTGAGATTGCCAATTACGTAAATTCAGTATTAATTAAACAATTGTCAATTGTTTGCCAATCTCAAGTATAATTTAAAAGTATTAAACACCTTTGTTTACTGTAAATCACTCTTAAACGTCCGATGCTGTTGCATATTTTAAAAAAAAAAAAAAAATTACCCAGCTAATTAATAACTAATACAATAATTAGTTAACGATTAACGGTGGTGAAGTAATTAGTAATTTTAAAATGTGCCATATTATAAATGTACAGATGTATTTTCATATAGCTTTCATCCAAAAGATAAAAAAAACAATCCTGCCTTTTAATCGAGACAAAATAATTACTTAACTAATTAATTAATTATTAATAACTATCAAGTTAATTTTTTGTAGAGCAGACCAATAACTTTATTACAAACTAATTTTATATGTCATTTTTAATACTTCTCAATTTTTGAGGTTACTTTTTATATTGTTCTGAAACAATGTTGTAAATTTACTTGTTTTAATATTTTTGGAACTATCTGACTAATTAATTCCAACTAAAAATATTTAATTGATACAAAAAATACCTTTAAATTTTTAAAATAATTAATTTTAAATTAATTAATTAAAAAATACTTTGTTTCAAGGTTAGAATTGAGGTTATCTGAAAATTTTTTGTAAATAGTAGAGTTGTTGGTTTGTTACAATAAATAAATAATAAATATAAATACAGTAATTAATTAAAAAAGATGGGCTGTGGTTGAGAGGTTAGTTAAGCTATTTTTATAGCTTTTTGGTTAAATGATAATGAAAAAAATTTTTGATCAGTCGACAAGAATAATAATAATAATAATAATAATTAATATTATTATTATTATTATTATTATAGAAAGGAACAATAATATATATATATATATATATTTTGAGTATATTTTCATTATAAAATTCCATATACATATTTATCCAGTTGACTAGTTAACGAGCTTTTTGCAGACACTGTGTATCTTTGTTTTAAATTTGAGGTTAAGTTTTTAGTCATAGAGGAACAAAGTAATAATTTGAGACAATCCTTTACGATAAATTGCTCAGAAGATAATTTCGCTCCAGATAAATTAATATTTTGTTGTGAAGAGATACACAGTATAAAATAAAACAGCTTTACTAATACTTAAACGTAAGAAGAAAAAACTAATCGTCCCATCACATATTTCTTCCATTGAATGTAGAACACATGCCAAAAATAATTAAAGCAAATAAAACTATGATAGTATTGATTTATTATTCAACAATAGATTGCCAAATTGCAAATAGAAAGCTTTTATTGATAAGTATTCAAATAAATATTTGAAAATAAAATAAGAAGAAACTAATTAATTAGTTAGTTAGATAAATTAATTCATCTAGATAATGAACAATTCAATTTTATTTCTTCTTTTTATATTTATTATTTTATTTCTTGTCTAGAAAAATGTGAAATAACTTTTAAGTGTCAAATTTAATCGCCGATACTTGAAAAAAAAATAAATTTTAAAACTAATAATAAGAGAAAAATTATTTTCTAATAATATTAAAAGTAAAAATATATATTTAGATAATGCCAATACTCTAAATAGTTAAATGGAGTGTAAAAAAATTGTCAAACTGTCATTGATTTATTTATTTAAACAATTATCTTAACAATAATTACACTAGGGTGTAGGTACAATAATTAGGTGTTGAAAAAATTTAAAAAAAAAAAAAATACTAAAATTAATTAATGTATTTCTATATTGTAATCCCTAATACATATCTGTGCAATAAAATTATCTGTATCCCTCCTAATTACTTATTAGTTATTATTATCACTTTTTTTACCTCTACATTATATTACGTAAAAAAAAAAAAAAACAAATGTTGAAAAAATTTAGTAGTGGCTGCTGCTAGTAATTCATTGTTTGATTGTAGGTTATGTCGGCGTAACTGTGGCCATTAACAATTTCAAAAAAAAAAAAAAAAAAGAAGAAATATTTATTTTTAAGCTCAGCAAAAGGCCAAAGTTACTCCGATTATTTTTTTTTTTTTGTTTAAAAAAAATTGTTGCGTTGATATGGAACGATAATTAATTAATAAATTAAACTTCGTCTTCGTTAAACAACATGTTGGGAATTCCGTTATTAATCGGGAATTTTCGACCCGATTCGGGACAAACTAAGTCGCCATTTATTACTTCTACTTCCAGTAATACGTGGTGGACTTTACGTAAAAAATCTTCGTTGTTTTCAAAATCTTGGATTATAGTTTGCGGTAATTCTCCGACGTGTCCTATCTGTTGAGCAAAAATTACATTAATAATTATAAAATTATAGAACTTAAATTAGCAGAAATTTTTACAATAAAATTAGCCGACATTTTTTATTTTGTTTAATTTATTAAATTATAACTAAAAAATTGCATTTTTAATTTTATTAAATTTCTACAAGTGAATTTTTTTAATAATTTAAAAAATATCTTACACTGTGTGCTGCAGTCCACAGTGTATTCCAATCAATTTTAGGAATAACTCTGGCAATAAACTCGGAATTAAAATCAATGTCCGCAACTTTAATGTCTTTGGCCTGAAAAAAAATAATTATTATGTTAACTAGAGTGAAAACAGTGTTTTTTAATTTACAAAATAACGATCAATATAATAACCACCCACGTGTTAACCCACCATGTACACAAACCATTTGTGAATATTCAAAAATATAAATTACAAGTGATTAATAACTTACCACAATCCCGAGAGGATATCCAACAGATACTCCTTTTAATCCTCGAGATGTCAACATATTGTGTGTCAATAACTTCATTTTTATTTTATTAATTTTTGGAGAAAATAAATCCAACACAAAATACGAAGCATTAACGTTACTCTAACGAGAATAAATAATAATCATAGTATAGAAAATTTACTATAGTTATTTTTTTGGTATATTATGTTCCACAGGTATCTACAGCTGGTATTTAAAATTTTTAAATTTTAAATAATTTTATTTATTTTATTAAAAAAAAAACTATTGACTAAGTTACAATAAAATTAATATTATAATTATTTATTGCATATAAATTATCTATAAAAAAATAAAAGTGATAGTTGGAATAAAAGTGACAAGTGATAGCCTGAAAATACAAGTTCATTATTATTAACGAAGGTCTTTGATATCAACAACCTTGAAGTTGTTGCATAAATAAATAAATAAATAAACGACTAACAAATCATGTTTTACATTAAAGTTAGTCACTAGAGAATTTTTTAATTTATTTTAACAAACAAATTTGTTTAGAAAAATTGCATTTTTAGTTTTTTAAAATTTCTACATGTCAATTTTTTTTTGCCATAATTTATTTAAAAAAAAAAAAATTATTTTCATGTTTTACACATTCGATAAGAATAATAATAATAATAACAATCAATTGGATTTCAACAAGTAGAGAGCAGAAACTATAGCAAAACCAACACCTGCAGTGTTTTTATATAGTGGACAGTGAACTAGTGATTGCGTTATTAAAAAAAAAAAAGCTGAGTATTAATACTTAACTCCTGAAACCTAAAAGATAATTTATAAATTAACATTCAAATGAGGTTATCAAAAGTTACGACTCAACTTATTATTCATTTACAACAACTAAAACTGTCAACAAAAGTGATCTCATATCCTCCAAGAATTAGTGCAGATAGCCACATCATCTGTCAATAAAAAAAAAAAAAACCAAGTAAATAAAAAAAATAATGTCAAAATCTTGACAATTGTTTAAAAAACAAGTAAAAATAAAATAAAAAAAAAAAAAAAGTGTTTGTTGATAAATTGACAGGAAAAAATGGCAGCAATATGGTTTGGATTGTTGATAATTATTGTAAATATTGTATTACTAATTGCGTATGTACAAACAGATGACTTGGAGTACATGAGGCCGGAGGAACGCGAGTCTCTCAAGGAGGAAGCGCGTGACATGTTTTACCACGCGTACAACGCGTACATGTCAAACGCGTACCCAGCGGATGAATTAATGCCGCTGAGCTGCAAGGGCCGGTACCGAGGCTCCGAGCCTGACCGCGGAGACATTGATTCCACTCTAGGAAACTTCTCGCTGACACTAGTGGACACTTTAGATACCCTGGTGGTGCTTGGAGACCTGGAGGAGTTTGAGAATGCGGTCAAGCTGGTGGTCCGTGACGTCAGCTTTGACACTGACGTTATTGTCTCGCTGTTTGAGACTAACATCCGGATGCTTGGAGGACTCCTCAGCGGACACATCCTCAGCGAGTACCTACAGGTGAGGGCTGATATTATGCCCTGGTATCGCGGCGAGCTCCTCAACATGGCCAAGGACCTGGGGTACAGGTTTCTTCCTGCGTTCAATACCACCACTGGGATTCCCTACGGGAGGATCAACCTCAGGCACGGAATGAAAAATGTTCCTGCGGAGATGTGCAGGGAAACTTGCACTGCTTGCGCCGGCAGTATGATCTTGGAGATGGCTGCGCTGTCCAGGTTGACTGGCGAGGGAATTTTCGAGGAAAAGGCCCAGAAAGCAATGGACGCACTCTGGAAGATGAGGCACCGCGGGACTGATCTCATGGGATCGGTTCTTAATGTTCATTCTGGTGATTGGGTCAGGAGGGACTCTGGTGTTGGTGCTGGGATTGATTCTTACTATGAGTATTGCTTGAAAGCTTATATTTTATTGGGTAAGTTCGATTTTTTATTTTATTATTTATTGTTAAATTAAATGTTTGTAATTACAGGTGATGAAAAATATCTCGGAAGGTTTAATAAACATTATTCAGCTGTCATGAAGTATGTAAGTCAAGGTCCTATGTTACTTGACGTACACATGCATCGGCCAAATACTAATTCTAAAAATTTTATGGATGCGTTGTTGGCATTCTGGCCTGGACTACAGGTACTAACAAATTATCTTGTCAACTATTAGTTGACATTTTTAAAGATATAATGCTAATATTATATTCTTTCCCGCTTATTCTTAATAATAAAGCTCACCTTGACATTATACTCATTGAGACCTTTCATTTGAATACCCACATCAATTTTTCATATATTTTATATATTTAATATTTATATATGAAAAATATATCAAAAATGTATGTAGATACTCAAATGAAAGTTCTCAATCAATGTAATGTCAAGATGAGCTTATATCTTCAAAATATATTATATAGATATATGTATATATGAAAAAAATTGATGTGGGTACTCAAATGAAAGCTTTTGATGAAATGTAACATCAAAATGAGCTTATATTTTTAAAAATGTCAATAGTTAAAAAAAATACAGTACAATTTAACAAAAAGTCGATTACAACTTTTAATCTATAAAAATTATAATACAGGTATTAAAAGGCGACATAAAACCAGCAGTAGAAACCCACGAGATGCTGTACCAAGTATTACAACGTCACAATTTTATTCCTGAAGCATTTACAACAGATTTCCAAGTCCACTGGGGCCATCATCCGTTGCGTCCCGAGTTTTTAGAATCAACTTATTACCTCTACCGCGCGACTGGCGATCATTACTACTTGGCAGTTGGTCGCAAAGTATTAAAAAGTCTTCAAACGTACGCCCGAGTACCCTGCGGTTACGCAGCAGTATCTGACGTTCGTACCAACAAGCACGATGACACTATGGAGAGTTTTGTATTGTCTGAAACGTTTAAATATTTGTATTTACTCTTCGCTGAATCCAGTGATCTTGTTTTGGATATAGACGAGTTTATATTCACGACTGAGGGCCATTTGTTGCCTCTTACGTTGGCTTCGCTTAGGACCAACGTGTCTTCTGTAAGTTCATTAGTAATTATTTTTTTTTTTTCCAAACCATTTTATTATAATTAATATTTTTTTTTTAGGATGTAGATATTGATACAGTTGAGTTTGATGAATTGGACCGGACGTGTCCAAATAGTTTGCACTTATTTCCAGCGTCTGTCCGTAAACCTTTGCGCAATATGGTTGAAGATGTATGCCCTAGAAGATCTATGAGACGACGTATAAGTGCTGCACAATTTCAAGTAATTTTTTACTTCTCAATTTAAAAAAAGAAATGACAAATTTTTAATGACATTTAAATTTACAGGCAAATAATTTAGATCATCTAAAAATATTAAGTAATATGGGTATTACTGTTCTAACAATGGCTGACGGACGGATGCAATTATTGCACACATTTTCCAACGTAAGTTGTCGATTAAAAAATTATTAATCAAAGACACAGTTGGTTAATATTGTATTAAAATTATTTAGGCTAAAACAATGGAAGACGCTGAGGAAGGTTTGATGTTTATGCAAGAAATGGTTGAGTTGAACCGCAGACAGTCACAGGAATCGGACAAACAGCGATTGGCATTGACGATAAAGCGGAAAGATGTCAATAAAGATTTGACATTACTTGGTGGTCCCGCGCAATTTGGACTTCAATTATCTGGCTCTGTAAAAATTACCGGCAAGCCGGTATTAACAGAACCAAAAGAAGCCTGCAGCGAGTTGACGAATGTTGATATGATTAAAGGAAATATCGCTGTTATATTCCGGGGGAACTGTATGTTTATTGAAAAGGTAATTGATATTTTTTATTTTTTAATTTAATCTGTTATTATTCAAAAATTTTGTCTCTAGATACATAATTAAGAAATGACTTTGTATATTTATATATATGAAAAATATATAAAAAATGCATGTAGGTATTCAAATGAAAGCTCTTGATGAGTTTAACATCAATAAATGATGAGCTTATATCTTTAAAAATGTCAATAGTTAAAAAAGTACAGTGCAATTTAACAAAAGTTATTAATTTAATGAAGCAAAATTAGGTTGCTAGTAATTTTTAATTTCATTTTATCACACTTTTTTGCTTACAGGCAAGAATGATCGAGAAAGCCGGCGCTATTGGTGGAATTGTATTGGATACCGTAATTGGCTCGACCATAGAATCATCACCAATGTTTGCAATGTCAGGTGACGGTATCACGAGAGATAATATTAAAATTCCATTTGCATTTTTATTTAATATAGAAGCTAATGAACTTGTTCGAGCTATCAGTGAGAGTAATGGAGCTATCACAGTCACAATGGGTATGTTTTATTTGTTTTTACTCTTTTTAATTTATAATTTAATTATTGATGATCATTTGAATACAGGCAATTACGCCAATGACGGAGTAGAAAAAAGTGATTCCGACAATTACTTGTCCATGTTTGAAAGGCTTAAATCATCGGTGAAAGAATTTTTGACGCGGCCATCAACGGTAAATAATATTTTTGATATTTTTAAGAATAAGAATTTTCTTTTATTTAATTTTATTTATTTTAGACTGAAAATACGCCAAATACAATCAGCGCGCCAGCGCTAGACAACAAAGAAGAAATGATAATCGACAAAGATCATTTGCGTGCAATAATTCCCCGAGAATCTGCAGTTAAGAACAAACAGAACCGCGATTTAGTTTTGTTTGCCAAATTAATGTTTAATAAAAATTCGCCATTGGTTAGTGCGACTACACCGTCCTCTACGACAGAACTTTCAGCATTTGAAAAAGGTTGGAAAGTCGTGAAGCAATTTTTGATCAATCAGATCTATGTAAACACTAAATTCCCACCGTACCAAGTGATTTCTGTTGGAAGAATCGAAACTTACTACGATTGGATTCAAAAAGAACGTAATCCGAAGAGTCCGATAAAAAGCGAGGAACTGAACACGTTTGAACTTGTCACGTGGTTCATTGACGAATTAAGTGACACGTTGCCTAATTTTGATAAGGCAAATTCATTTGGGAGCATTTCTAAAGTTTCAAAGTCGCTGATTCAAAAATTGAGCTCCTCGATCAGCAAAAATGACATAATTAATATCGACACTAATGAAGATATTGAAGGTTATAATGAAGATAATACCAAGGATGATAAAAAATTGGGTAATATTATGGAGACGTATAAAATTTATGATAATTTGATGGAAAATATTCAAGATGTTTTGAAGAATTTAAAAACTGAATTTAAAAGCAAGGGTTTGGATGATAATAATAGTAATGTTGGGAATAATAATAATAATAATAATAATAATAATAATAATAATGATAATTTGATAGTTCCAAATTACTCTAATCAAACTAATCAAAATTCGGTAATTGCTGAGGAAAAAAAAACTGGCGATGAAATTAATATCAAAGATAACGTTATTGATAATGAAAATAAAGGCGATGCGAGTAGTGAAGATAGAATAGATAGTGAAAATAACGCAATTAATAAAGATAATGCGACAAAAAGTAACGATGAATTATAACGTTACTTTTTTTAATTAGGTTATTGAATATTACCGGATTTTTTATAATAAGGTAAAAGCCCCAATTATTGACACTATTAGAGACGATGATTTGATTTTTTTTTTAAGCTAGCAAATATCAATATAAATTTTATTTGTGGTACTGTCTCAAGTAATGTTTTTTACCAAATCAAATTTTTTAAAATGATATAATCAGTGATATTTACTAATTAATTTTAAATAATTAAATAGATCATCCGGATAAACCAATTATTTAAGCTTATAAAAAAGAGGATAGTTAATTTTATTACAGATGATTAAATATATTGAAAAATAATTTAGGGTGTCAATATTTAGATCCCTGTCAATAATTGGAGCTTTTACTTTATCAAGTTTTAACTGTAAAAATGATTTTTTTTTTTTTTTCTATAAATTGTCTATTTAAAACGCATCTGTTATTATGATTTAAATAATTATTGTGAATAGATATATAATTGATAATAACTACTGCCTTAATATTTAACTCAGCTTTGTCGTTAATAGTAACTACTATTAATATAGTACACAGTAATTAATTTAAGTATTTATTAGTACTAATTGAATGTTAATAGTAATTACTAATTACTATGAATATTAATTTTTGTAACTATTGCATATTTATTTTAGTTATTACTATTGATTGTAACTATTTGTAATAGTAATGAGACCAATTGATGTATAAAAAAATTTATATTTAGAAAAAATTCAGTGTGTTAATTATTACAAATAGTAATTGACTGTGAATAGTAGTTAACTATTGAAAAAAAAATTTAACTATTAGGATAAATTTTTATAATAATACTAATGTACATAGTTATTGCTATTATTAATAGTGCTTTTTTACTATCATTAATATGTGATACTATTGTACATAGTTGTCATTAAATTTTTTTTACGTTTCGTCGAAAAGACTAATGTTCAAATGTAAAAAAAAAAAAAAAAAATAGTGTAAATAATTAGCATAAAAAATAGGAATTAATTCTTATTTTCAATTTTATTTAAATAGTTTTTTATGCTGATTAAATGCTGAATAGATAAATGATACTATATTAAATGGTAGAGTTTATATTTTTTCATTACGTCATTGTAAATACTATGATAATTATTCACATAATCTAATTAAAAATAACTGAAATAATTAAAGAGAAACTATTAAATTGAGATATTGTTTATCTATTTTAATTTTTATCTGCCAAATTTATTATATCAAAAATATTGTAATATATATGTACATGTGTCATCGTGTAATTTAATCACAATCGATGAAACTTTGTGATTGTATAAATAAGATATTTAATTAAATAAATAAATAAAATTTATCTATAAAAAATTCTTTCCCGTAATTTTTATTAACAGTACCTTAATTACTTTTTTTTTTTTTTCCAATTGGTTTATTTTTTAATTAATACAATTATCAGTCATCAAAAATGAAGAAATATAATTTTTATAATAGACAGTAGTCTGTAGGCGACGTAAAGGTTTTTTAATTAATAAAAAAAAAAGATCAATGATAAATTTTATATTTTTTAGACAAAGAACTAATTAGTGTAGAAGAACTAAGTGGGGTTGTTTGGACACTTTATAATGAAACGAAAATAAAAAAAAATTCATTATGTGGTTTAAAAAATTTTTAAAAATGTCTTTGGAATATTTTAATAATTTTATTTTTATTTAATTATTCATTAAGCGACATTAGAGCGGTCAGTGCGACTAATTTTCGGCTTCCGAACAATACAAAGCCTCATTTGTATGAAATAGAATTAGATTTTGATATTTTTGGTGAATATTTTCCAGTAAATAACGGAAAAAGTTTTATTAATTTTGAAGTAATTGAACCTACGGACACTGTAACTTTGGACAAAAGCTAATAATGTTAAAATTAATGAAGAATATATAAAAGTCGAACATCAAAAAATTTTTAAACAGTCATGGAGTTCAGAAGAAGTTTATAGGATAAAATTGAGCGATTATTTGACACTTGCGGTAATTACAGTTTTGAATTAAAATGGAGTGTTAACAATAGTGATCCTAATAACATTGGATTTTTTAATTATTATGACAAAGATGAAGAAAGTTATGAAATTTTTGTATTGTTATTATAACTTTGAATTTTTTTTGAGTGATATTAATTAACTATACCCTCAAAAAATTTCAGGTTTGTTGCTGGAACTAGAAATTTAAAATACCAACTTACGCAAGAAGAGTTTTTCCATATGTTGGGATGAACCATTTTATAAATCAAAATTCATATTTTCGATAAAACATCCCAAGAATTTAACTGCGTTGTCAAATATGCCGGAAATATAAATCGTGAATCTGACGGAATTGATAAAATTTTGACGTATTTTGAAGTGTCACCAAGATTATCACCGCATTCTATTGAAATTGTGTTAACAAATTTTGATTCCATCAAAAACCAACATGGAAATTTAACATATTTTTTACAATTAAACAGAATGCGCATAAAATTCAGCGACTTTTGAATATAACTAGTAAAATTTTGTCTCTTTTGGAAAATTAGACGAAAATTTCGTATCCTGTTTTTTATTATTAATTAGACGTCATTATTTTACCACAGATACCAGGATTGATAAATTATAAATTTGGGGCTTATGATATTCTCAAGTATAATTGATAAAAATTAAGTTAGCTGACTTTTAAATTTTTTTTCATTGAAAAAATAATTACAAAAACATTTTAATTTGTAAAATACTTAAAAAAAAAACTGTAAGTGCTATATTGTAAAAAATATTTTTTTGTTCTAATTTAATTTTAAAAAAATTAAAAACGTCGGCTAACTTTATTGTTATAAGTTAATCGATTGTTTTTAAAAGAAGAAAACAATTTTTTTTTTTTTTTTTTTTTTTTTTTAAGTTCTGAAAAAATCAATTTTCCGGAGCCAAAATCCGAACTGGCGCTTTATCAGTACAAAAAAACTGAAGCTATCATTTTGGCGGAAGCGTTGAGCTTACAGTGGTTCGGTAACCTTGTGACTCAAATATGGTGGGATGATTTGTGGCTATTAGCTTACGGGATTAGCAATTTTTTAGCTGCTGAAATAATTGACCAGGTGATTTTTGATTTACAATTTTAAATAATTTAAATTAATTAATAATAATTTATTATAGATTTTTGAAAATGAAACCATCAAAAAGCCAAAAATTGGCTATCTATTGACGCATACAAATCATATACCACGCTTTAATAAGACTGCAGTCCACCAATCCGCTTTGCCAGTCCAAGAGAAATTGAAGAACAATTAGATAGTTTCCAAGTACCGACTATTTTTTAAGCTTTTTTTTTTGCAATAATTTAATCTAAAAAATTCAAACTTTTGCAGCAAATTCAGCGCAGTTTCAACTAAAGATCTCTGGGACAGTTTCGCAGAACAATCCAAGTTAAATCTCAAACAATTGATGGATCCATGGTTAGAAAACCCTGGATACGCTATTGTAGAAGTCTCTAATGATCGGGAGACTAATTCTTTCAGAATAATCCACCCACGCGGACATTTAAAAATGAAAATTCTAAATTTTTTTCAAGTTAGTAAGCTGATCATTTGTTTTGTTTAGGATGCTTGTAGAGGATGTAAGATCGATTTGATTGGTATATAACAATGATTAGAAATTAACTGATCGAAAATTTTAAACCTTACTCTGGTTAACTTTTGATAACTTTTAATAACAATACCCACGCGGACATTTAAAAATGAAAATTCTAAATTTTTTTCAAGTTAGTAAGCTGATCATTTGTTTTGTTTAGGATGCTTGTAGAGGATGTAAGATCGATTTGATTGGTATATAACAATGATTAGAAATTAACTGATCGAAAATTTTAAACCTTACTCTGGTTAACTTTTGATAACTTTTAATAACAATACCCACGCGGACATTTAAAAATGAAAATTCTAAATTTTTTTCAAGTTAGTAAGCTGATCATTTGTTTTGTTTAGGATGCTTGTAGAGGATGTAAGATCGATTTGATTGGTATATAACAATGATTAGAAATTAACTGATCGAAAATTTTAAACCTTACTCTGGTTAACTTTTGATAACTTTTAATAACAATACCCACGCGGACATTTAAAAATGAAAATTCTAAATTTTTTCCTAGTTAGTAAGCTAATCATTTGTTTGGCTTAGGGTGCTTGTAGAGGATGTAAAATCGATTCGATTGGTATTTAACAATGATTAGAAATGAACCGATTGAAAATTTTAAACCTTACTCTAGTTACCTTTTGATAACTTTTAATAACAATACCCACGCGGACATTTAAAAATGAAAATTCTAAATTTTTTTCAAGTTAGTAAGCTGATCATTTGTTTTGTTTAGGATGCTTGTAGAGGATGTAAGATCGATTTGATTGGTATATAACAATGATTAGAAATTAACTGATCGAAAATTTTAAACCTTACTCTGGTTAACTTTTGATAACTTTTAATAACAATACCCACGCGGACATTTAAAAATGAAAATTCTAAATTTTTTTCAAGTTAGTAAGCTGATCATTTGTTTTGTTTAGGATGCTTGTAGAGGATGTAAGATCGATTTGATTGGTATATAACAATGATTAGAAATTAACTGATCGAAAATTTTAAACCTTACTCTGGTTAACTTTTGATAACTTTTAATAACAATACCCACGCGGACATTTAAAAATGAAAATTCTAAATTTTTTTCAAGTTAGTAAGCTGATCATTTGTTTTGTTTAGGATGCTTGTAGAGGATGTAAGATCGATTTGATTGGTATATAACAATGATTAGAAATTAACTGATCGAAAATTTTAAACCTTACTCTGGTTAACTTTTGATAACTTTTAATAACAATACCCACGCGGACATTTAAAAATGAAAATTCTAAATTTTTTCCTAGTTAGTAAGCTAATCATTTGTTTGGCTTAGGGTGCTTGTAGAGGATGTAAAATCGATTCGATTGGTATTTAACAATGATTAGAAATGAACCGATTGAAAATTTTAAACCTTACTCTAGTTACCTTTTGATAACTTTTAATAACAATACCCACGCGGACATTTAAAAATGAAAATTCTAAATTTTTTTCAAGTTAGTAAGCTGATCATTTGTTTTGTTTAGGATGCTTGTAGAGGATGTAAGATCGATTTGATTGGTATATAACAATGATTAGAAATTAACTGATCGAAAATTTTAAACCTTACTCTGGTTAACTTTTGATAACTTTTAATAACAATACCCACGCGGACATTTAAAAATGAAAATTCTAAATTTTTTTCAAGTTAGTAAGCTGATCATTTGTTTTGTTTAGGATGCTTGTAGAGGATGTAAGATCGATTTGATTGGTATATAACAATGATTAGAAATTAACTGATCGAAAATTTTAAACCTTACTCTGGTTAACTTTTGATAACTTTTAATAACAATACCCACGCGGACATTTAAAAATGAAAATTCTAAATTTTTTTCAAGTTAGTAAGCTGATCATTTGTTTTGTTTAGGATGCTTGTAGAGGATGTAAGATCGATTTGATTGGTATATAACAATGATTAGAAATTAACTGATCGAAAATTTTAAACCTTACTCTGGTTAACTTTTGATAACTTTTAATAACAATACCCACGCGGACATTTAAAAATGAAAATTCTAAATTTTTTCCTAGTTAGTAAGCTAATCATTTGTTTGGCTTAGGGTGCTTGTAGAGGATGTAAAATCGATTCGATTGGTATTTAACAATGATTAGAAATGAACCGATTGAAAATTTTAAACCTTACTCTAGTTACCTTTTGATAACTTTTAATAACAATACCCACGCGGACATTTAAAAATGAAAATTCTAAATTTTTTTCAAGTTAGTAAGCTGATCATTTGTTTTGTTTAGGATGCTTGTAGAGGATGTAAGATCGATTTGATTGGTATATAACAATGATTAGAAATTAACTGATCGAAAATTTTAAACCTTACTCTGGTTAACTTTTGATAACTTTTAATAACAATACCCACGCGGACATTTAAAAATGAAAATTCTAAATTTTTTTCAAGTTAGTAAGCTGATCATTTGTTTTGTTTAGGATGCTTGTAGAGGATGTAAGATCGATTTGATTGGTATATAACAATGATTAGAAATTAACTGATCGAAAATTTTAAACCTTACTCTGGTTAACTTTTGATAACTTTTAATAACAATACCCACGCGGACATTTAAAAATGAAAATTCTAAATTTTTTTCAAGTTAGTAAGCTGATCATTTGTTTTGTTTAGGATGCTTGTAGAGGATGTAAGATCGATTTGATTGGTATATAACAATGATTAGAAATTAACTGATCGAAAATTTTAAACCTTACTCTGGTTAACTTTTGATAACTTTTAATAACAATACCCACGCGGACATTTAAAAATGAAAATTCTAAATTTTTTCCTAGTTAGTAAGCTAATCATTTGTTTGGCTTAGGGTGCTTGTAGAGGATGTAAAATCGATTCGATTGGTATTTAACAATGATTAGAAATGAACCGATTGAAAATTTTAAACCTTACTCTAGTTACCTTTTGATAACTTTTAATAACAATACCCACGCGGACATTTAAAAATGAAAATTCTAAATTTTTTTCAAGTTAGTAAGCTGATCATTTGTTTTGTTTAGGATGCTTGTAGAGGATGTAAGATCGATTTGATTGGTATATAACAATGATTAGAAATTAACTGATCGAAAATTTTAAACCTTACTCTGGTTAACTTTTGATAACTTTTAATAACAATACCCACGCGGACATTTAAAAATGAAAATTCTAAATTTTTTCCTAGTTAGTAAGCTAATCATTTGTTTGGCTTAGGGTGCTTGTAGAGGATGTAAAATCGATTCGGTTGGTATATAACAATGATTAGAAATTAACTGATCGAAAATTTTAAACCTTACTCTGGTTAACTTTTGATAACTTTTAATAACAATACCCACGCGGACATTTAAAAATGAAAATTCTAAATTTTTTCCTAGTTAGTAAGCTAATCATTTGTTTGGCTTAGGGTGCTTGTAGAGGATGTAAAATCGATTCGGTTGGTATATAACAATGATTAGAAATTAACTGATCGAAAATTTTAAACCTTACTCTCGTTAACTTTTGATAACTTTTAATAACAATACCCACGCGGACATTTAAAAATGAAAATTCTAAATTTTTTCTAAGTTAGTAAGCTGATCATTTGTTTGGCTTAGGATGCTTGTGGAGGATGTAAAATCGATTCGATTGGTATTTAACAATGATTAGAAATGAACCGATTGAAAATTTTAAACCTTACTCTAGTTACCTTTTGATAACTTTTAATAACAATACCCACGCGGACATTTAAAAATGAAAATTCTAAATTTTTTCTAAGTTAGTAAGCTGATCATTTGTTTGGCTTAGGATGCTTGTGGAGGATGTAAAATCGATTCGATTGGTATTTAACAATGATTAGAAATGAACCGATTGAAAATTTTAAACCTTACTCTAGTTTACTTTTGATAACTTTTGATTACAATACCCACGCGGACATGTAAAATTGAAAATTCTAAATTTTTTCCAAGTTGGTAAGCTAATCATTTGTTTGGCTTAGGGTGCTTGTAGAGGATGTAAAATCGATTCGGTTGGTATATAACAATGATTAGAAATTAACTGATCGAAAATTTTAAACCTTACTCTTGTTAACTTTTGATAACTTTTGATAACTTTTAATTACAATACCCACGTGGACATGTAAAAATGAAAATTCTAATTTTTTTCCAAGTTAGTAAGCTAATCATTTATTTGGCTTAGGATGTTTGTAGAGAATGTAAAATCGATTCGATTTGTATATAACAATGATTAGAAATGAACTTATCGAAAATTTTAAACCTTAGTCTAGTTAACTTTTGATAACTTTTGATTACAATACCCACGCGGACATGTAAAATTGAAAATTCTAAATTTTTTCCAAGTTGGTAAGCTAATCATTTGTTTGGCTTAGGGTGCTTGTAGAGGATGTAAAATCGATTCGGTTGGTATATAACAATGATTAGAAATTAACTGATCGAAAATTTTAAACCTTACTCTCGTTAACTTTTGATAACTTTTAATAACTATACCCACGCGGACATGTAAAAATGAGAATTCTAAATTTTTTCCAAGTTAGTGAGCTGATCATTTGTTTGGTTTAGGATGCTTGTGGAGGATGTAAGATCGATTCGATTGGTATATAACGATGATTAGAAATGAACCGATCGAAAGTTTTAAACCTTACTCTAGTTAACTTTTGATAGCTTTTAATAACAATACCCA